CACCCACACACCAAAATCAACTATGGTGAGTTTTCCAATATTGGGTAAGAAAGAGTAAAACAATCTTAATAAAATGGTGGTAGAAGCTTAAGTTCTTTGAATGGAATTTAAAAGAACAAAACTGTCTCTTCTAACAAGCAGGGAAGCTAACTTCCTTGGAATTGAGCACTAACTAAAACCAAATATCAACATATTATATAAATATATCATTGTAACAAAGCATTTATGGAAAATTATCTAGTTGAGAATGTTAATATTTTATGTGTTTGTCTATGTATTCAGTAAAACAACTGTGAAATACTTTTTCAAGTAATTTTGAATAACATAAGAGGCAGAGTCTAAGATAGATAAGTTTTCAGTGTAAGTGTGGCCTTTCACAAATGCTTCTTGATATATAGTTATTTTTACATATAGCATCACTGTTGTTGTTGCTGAGTACTGTCAAGTCAGAACTGACCCACAGGTGATCATTCAATGGGTTTTCAGAGCAGTTAATGACTTAGGAAAGAGGCCAAGTATTTGGAGCTCAGATCTCAATAATGATGCTTAAATTAACCTGACTCTTTTTTTTCTATAACAAAAATACCCACATGGATAAAATAAAATTGAACTGCTAATGATACCTAGCTTGGTGCCTATTTCATAAAAATGAAAACTTAAAATTGTTTAGTTTTCTTCTTCCCCATCAGAAATCAAGTACTTGTGCAAATTTAGAAAATTAAAATATTTATTGAACCAAAGTAGAAATGAAATATGCAAATAATGTCTTTATTAATTAACCAATTCAAGGAAGAACGAGGGACTAACAAGCAACCATAACAACAACAAAAAAGTCAGAATAGAGAAAGGCAGAAATTATTCTGGTTACTATAATGCTCTCTGTTTGCTATTGCTAAAATAACCAAACTTCAAAAATGGGAGTAAAGTAGAAAATTTTAAGTTTATCATGTGCAAGTAAATAGGAGACAGGAGGTGTGAGCTTCCCAAACCTGTGCCCCACCTTGGAGAATGTAGGGAGCTTATAAAATGGAAGAGGATGACAACAGGATGTGAGTAATTTCTACTGTATCTGTTTTATTTAGATGATCTGGTCAGTGGTCCTGTCCCAGATAAATGAATGTAGTTTTATTACAAAGAGAGTTGATGCCATCTATTTCTTGTGACTTAGAAGAGACCTAATTGCGAAAAGGACAACAAAAATGGTTCAAAGAGAACTTAAAGGAATTTTAATTGTATATAACAACTACTGCTACATAAAGAGGAAGTCATTAAGTAGTTTTTCCCTTAATGTGGTATAAAATACTAGTCTGTACAATACAAGGCTACCTTCCTTGAAAGAGAACTCTGAGAAAAATTGGATAAATTATGTCTATTGCATTGAAACAGATGAGGGAGAGAAAAAGTTTAAAAGCAATATATGATTGGGTATTATGGTTATGGCAAGAGTCCAGAATAAAGGTTGCATAGTGGACTGTACTGGGGTGGGGGGAGGGGGCAGATTGTATGCCAGTGAAGGAATTTTTCTTTTACTTTTCAAAGAGAAGAGTGAACTAGGAGGGAAAGGTGGAAGGGAGAAAAATGCAACAATGAATGAATGGAAATAAAAAACCTCTGTAAATGTTCATTAATAAAATACAATTTAAAAAAAAAAAAGAAAAAGAGAACTCTAGTGGCCTAGTGGGTAGAAACTTGCATGGTTAATGCAGAGGTCATCTGCTCCAAACCTACTGCAAAATGAGAAGAAATGAGGAGGGAGTACTGATCTCAAGATTTAGGATTCTCACAGTTATTGTTCATAAAACTAATTCATGAGATACAAAAAGCATTTGATGTATTAGAATTATCTGGTAGCTCTAATCCACCTCAGGAGAGAAAGATGAAAACTCTTCCAGTATAATTTACAATCCCTGAAAATCCACTGGAGTGTCAGCTATTGGTCTTTTCTATAAAGTATTGTGTTGAAAGTGCAACCAGAATGTTCCTTGGAGGCAAGGATGACAAAGATTTGTCTTACATACTTTGGGCATGTTTCTTAGACAGGCTATTGGTATAAGAGGGGCATTGTGCTTGGAAAGGTGGAGGGTCAGCTAAGAGGAAGTCTTTCGGTGTAATAGATTGAACATGACTACAGCAATGATCTCAAGTGTGTCAGAGATGATGAGAAAGTACAGGATACAACAGGGTTCATATTTGTTGTTCATAAGATCTCTATCAGTCATACTCAACAGGCACCTAACAACAAACAACAACAAAGTATCATGTTAACTTTCTATTGTTAGTTGCACTGAAAACATAAAATTGTTCTCATACAGCTTCTCCAAAATACTCTTTCAGTTCTCTATCTTCTCAGTTTTCAGTCTCTAGTATGAAGTTTGTAATGGAAATGGGAAAGTTGGAAGAAATTTAAATGGATTAGTCTATCCTTCATTTTCACAGATGAAGAGAAAAAAGGCTTCATATTTGACAGTCAAAACAAGGGTTTTTAGCACACACACACATAAACATTTTTCTTGTTAATCTAAAAATCAATGACCTACATTAGACAACTGTTATTATTTGTCATTGAGATAGATACAACTCATAAACATCCTATGTGCAACAGATTTGAATCTTGTCCTATCTTGTTCCGGGTTTACCATCTGCAATATACTTCAGCCCATTAATTCAGTCATAGTGTTAGTTCATCTTGTTGAGGGTCTTACTCTCTCACACTGATTCTCCACCTTTCCAAGCATGATGTCATGTTCTTTTCCAATAATTGGCTCTTCCTAACAACATGCTTAAAGCATGTGAGATGAAGTTTCACCATCCTTGTTTCCAAGGAGCAGACTTGGTCACACTTTATCCAAGATGGACTTGTTGGTCCTTTGGTTAGTTTATGGAATATTCAGTACTCTTCTCCAATATCACAGCTCTAAGGTACGGATTCTGCTTTTATCCTTAGTCAGTTTCCAAGAAGAAATGCCATTGCTTGGATCAGGTGCAGCTTGGTCATGAAACTGAAATAGTTTTTTTCTTTAATACTATGCAGAGGTCCCTAAGAGTAGATTTTTCTTTTCAGTGTAATAGGTCTTTTGATTATTTACTTGCTCATACCAAGATTATTAATTGAGGATTCAATTAAGATAAAATTGTTGACAATTTCAATCTTTATTCTATTTGATTGTTTCCTATTGGTCCAATGGTGAGGATTTTTGTTTTCTTTATGTTGACATGTAATCCATATTGAAGGTTGTAGTCTTTGATCCTCTGAAGCAAGCATAAGTCCTCCTCACATTTAACAAGCAATGTTGCATCATTTACACAACACAGGTTTTTGAGTCTTTCTCCAATTCTGTTGCCAAATTCTTCTTCATAAAGTCCAGCTCCTCCAATGACTTTTCTTCTCAGCACACAGATTGAACAGGTATGTAGAATGGTTATAGCTTGATTTTAAATAATGTCGTTTTCCTTTGTGCTCAAATCCAAAGTTTGTTCTTCAAAGAAAACTATTGCAGATAGAATGTCTGAGTATCAGAAAAAGGGACTTATACCATACTGTCACAGAAAGGTGAATGAGAGAGCTTTGAATCATTGAGAAAAGACTTTCTTAAAATGAGAAAGAATGGAGAGATCAAGCTCGACTCAAGAGTTAGGATTCTCCTAGTTTTGTTTTCTAAGATGAATTAATGAGGATACAAAAAAAACCCCACTTAGTTAGGCATTATGTGGTTAAAAATAAAGCTCACAGAGACCCTAGTAAGACAGCCCCACCAATTATTGCTTAGAATTGACAGATGGAAGTGAAAAAGTAAGAGATATTATTGACTCACTATGAAGTGATTAAAGAGATGATAATGATTTATAAACTGAAAAGGACTGTTGGTGGTGTAATGTGTGTATAACACTTAGCTGTGAACCAAAGAGTCATTAATTCAAACCCACCAGTCACTCGACATGAAAAAGATGTGTCAGCCTGATCTCATAAGAATAAAGTGTTGCAAACTCAACCCAATGGGGCAATTCTACTCTGTCTTATAAACTCAGCATGAGTTTGAATTAATTCAATCAACAGTAGTGGCTTTGGCCCTTGATATTTTGAGAAAGGATGAGATTTTGATTCCCTCTCATGAAATCTAAAGCACTGGAAAATTACACCCCTATCGTGATTTCCAATCTTGATTTTCCACTTCTCAAAAATACATATCACTTTATTTTTTTATATTATTTTTAGATGTTGCAGAGAATGGGACCAGAAATGAAGAATCAGACAGAAAGTTAAAATAGTTATCAGATAATGCTCCAGAAAATTGTTTGCCTTCAAATCTGAAATTGACATGTAAGCATTTTCTGTGCAAAATGTTCTTATTCTTTGACAATGAAATTTTGATGAAATAGGATGACAAGTTAAAGGGTACTAACACTACATAATTTGATCCTTGACTCTGCAATTGTAGGGATTCTCCACATTAGAGACAGAATTGCTTGGTAGGAGAGAATTTAGAGATTAAGTACCCTGTCCAGCCAGCTAGTATAAGCTCCAATTTGGAATACTGGTTTCCTCTAAAAAGACCATTTAATCTGTTTAAATAGGAAAATGTATGAACAAAGATGAAATACATTCAATTTTCATAAATCTGTAGTCAACAATGATCTCTGTTTTTCTGTTTGACTTAACAAAAAGGATAATGAGTTTCAGTTGAGGAAATGGAAAGGGATGGGGTTTGAGTGATACAAATCATATTTTTTGAAATAGTTTTTGAGTTACATTTATTTAAGTTAAATATTTTATTAATAATGACTGGTTCATTACTACTTCTTTTAAGCTGCATGTTGGATCTCAAATATCTAGGGCACAGTAAATATAATTGCTTAATAAATAACTGTTCCTTAATAAATAATTATTTTAAAAAGAAATGCTGCATACATGAATGAAAACTCGTTTTCATATTTTCCTACTTTATCTCCCATATCCTCTTTTTTTCCTAGCTGCCACCATAATTATCATCTTTAAAATTATTATGGCAAACAATACAATGAGTGGATTTCTCCTTGTGGGCTTTTCTGAAATTCGTGAGCTACAGATTTTACATGCTTTCCTGTTCTTGGTGATGTACCTCTTAAGCTTGGCAGGTAACTTCATCATTATCATCATCACCACATTGGATCATCAACTCCAATCACCAATGTATTACTTCTTAAAGCACCTTTCCCTCCTGGACCTCTCCGTCATTTCTGTCACTGTTCCTCAGTCTATTACCAATTCTCTGTTGGACGATGGCTCTATTTCCTACAGTCAGTGCGTACTCCAGGTTTTCTTCTTCACAGCTTTGGCTGGGGCTGAAGTGTCCATTCTTACAGTGATGTCTTATGATCGTTACATAGCCATCTGCTCTCCACTGCATTATGAAATCGTTATGAATCCTAGTAAGTGTAAGTGGGCTGTGATGGCTGTGTGGCTAAGCGGAGGCATCTCTGGAACATTGTACACATCAGCCACATTCTCTATCGTATTCTGTAGAGCCCGAATAATCCACCAGTTCTTTTGTGATGTCCCCCAATTACTAAAGCTCACCTGTTGCAATGATTACCTTAGAGTGATTGGAGTGGCAGCTTTCATGTCTTTGATGGCTTGCTTCTGCTTCACCTTCATTGTCTTCTCCTACATTCACATCTTCTCTACAGTTCTGAGAATACCTTCTGCTGAGGGCCAATCCAAGGCCTTCTCTACTTGTCTGCCCCACCTCTTTGTTGTTACAATTTTTGTTACTACAGGCATATGTGAATTCCTAAAACCAGCTACAGAATCCCCAACAGTTTTTGACCTTGCAATTTCTATCTTCTACACAGTAATACCTCCATCACTCAATCCTATTATCTACAGCTTAAGGAATGATGCCCTGAAGGAAGCTTTCAGAAAGTTATTGTTGGGAGAAGAATACATCAGAAGAAAATAATCTTTGTCCTGTTGTTGACCACTGTTCTATATTATAGATAAAACATTTTAAATAATACTGAATTAATATTTATTTCCCCCTGTAGATTAGTGATTCCAAATAACCATTGTCATTAATGAAATGCTTCCTTTAATTACCACATCTTTACATTAATACATTTTTTTATCCTTGCAGATTAAAAGAAACCAAAAACTACAGCCTTTCAATACAGTCTCATTATTCTTTTCCCCCCCTCAATAAATATGATAACACACATAAACCTATATACAAACAACAACCATTATAAGTTCACTTACAATAAAGAAGGAATAAAATATTTACTCACATCCCATCGTATGAACAAAAAATTATTTATTCATACAAGAGTCTCTGGTGGTGCAGCTGCTAAAGGTTTTGGATGTTTTGTGTGTTTTTTTTCTTCATTTGTTTTGGTTCTTTTTTTGCTAACATTTTTCTAGGTCATATAGCCCTGGTATGTCCACTTACCATACAGAGGTAACTTGTGGTTGCTGTGAAGCTGAACATTATGACACTGATGGGTCAAATGCATTAATGACTACCCATGGTGGACAGTGTTTGGTGGAGCTGCCCGATTAAAAACAAGCTTGGAAGCAGGAGTGGCATCTACCTCAGTAAATAGCTTGCCTCCAGAAACCCTATGAACTTGGAGAAAGGATGAAAGACACACAAGTGTTGAGGACTTTTGTTTATAGGGTCGCTATGAGTCACCTACGACTCAATGGCACTAAACAACAACAACATCATCCAAAAATACAGCAGCTGAAACATGCCCAGTAGGATATGAGAGAAAAGACTTAGTGATCTGCCACCTTAAACATTCAAGTCTAGGAAATTCTATGAAGCAATTGAATACTGTAACATGAGGTCCCGACAAGTTTAGAACTGACGCAATTGTACTCAACAATACAGCTATTTAGGTTTTTCTTATTATAAGGTCCACGGATACATGGAATTCACATGAGAATACAGTAAAATACACACAAGTTGGAACATGTATAAGAGGAAATATATAAGAGAAAGAAAGCTGGAATTTTACACACTAATATGAGCTATAAACGATTATAAGTTGGCACCATGTCAAAAGTGGGAAACTTGCAAAACCAATCATCTTGTCCACGTTCTTACTCCCACAGGTTTCAGAACTGTGTATTTGTCCGCTCACTTATTTTATACATATATTTTGTTATTCTTGGTATATACTTTCAAGTCAGATCTGGCTCACTGCTATCTCTCTAGGATGTTTTCAAAGACTATTAATAGCTCTGGAGAACACTGCTCATCTTTCTCACACTTAGATATATAAGTTATTTTTCATTTTTAAATCTTATAAATAATCCTGAAATGGAAATTTTGTTCTTCATAATTCCAAATATGGTTGCTGAACCAAAGTATATATAGCCGTATTGCTCTTCCACAACATTAAAATCATTCAAAGGGTCCATAACCATGTATGACTTTGTGGTTCTCCTACATGTCTCATATTATTTTATAAAATTATAAAAGAAATATCTATAGAGAATCTACTAGTTGGCTGAAACTATATTAGGTACCTAGAACACAGAACTAAATAAAATATATATAGTATTTGACATTGTAAAGATTTTCAAGGTTTACAATCTTCACAACATATCTTACTTTATATAATTTTCAAAAAGTCATTTTTAGCTCCAGAGATGAAAATGATAGTAATGCTATATTTAATTTCTTTTCCTATTATCCATTTCAGTTTTACATATATTTTCTTATTTATACATTTGTTTTAAAAATTTTGTAAATATTAGCATTCTGTATTTTTTAATGACAAAAGTAATTTCCTTAAGTCCTTTAATTTTCAGGCTACTTTTTCTCTATGCACACCATGTCTTTTGACTTCAAACTTCATTTTTAAAGTTTGTGACAATAGAGCTTAAACATCCTAGGCTACCAAATCATAGTATTAAATGTTTAATATTTAGATGTATTAATTATTAGACTAACTTATTTGCAATAATATATAAATCATATTTTTATTTTAATTTGAATGCCAATTAAATTATTATAATTTGTGAAATTATAATTTCCATTTATTTATTATTATTTTAATGAATTTCCAAATCCCAAAAGAATATAGTTATGTTTTATATTTATAGTGTTACATTTTTTTATGGAGCTCTTGTGGTCTAATGATGAGCAACTATTATGCAATTCTAAAGGTATGCGGTTTGAATCCACCAGCTGCTCCACAGAAGAAGGGTGAGCAAATTTTTCTTGTGCAGTTAAACAGCCTCTGAAAACCCTCTGGAGAGTCAGAGATGGGTCAATTTTGACTCTGCAGTACACAACAACTATGACATTATATTTTCATTCCTTTTTAATTAATCTATATTTATATGGAGATAGGACACATCCCCGGCATACACCCTTCCCAATTTTGAACCATGCAGTGTTTCCTTGCTCTGCTCTGACGACTGCCTTCTGGTCCAAGTATAGGTTTCACATTAGCACGATCAAATGTTCCCATTCTTCTCAGAGTCAACCAGAGTTTGTTGTGATCCACACAGTCAAAAGCCTTTGCATAATCAATAAAACACAGATAGACATTCCTCTGGTACTCCCTGCTTTCAGCCAAGATCCATCTAACATTAGCTCAAACATCCCTATTACCACAACTCCTTCTAAACACAGCCTGGACTTCCGGCAGTACTCTGTTGACATATTGCTCCAATATTTTTTGGATAATCTTCAGCAGAATCTTGCTTGCATGTAATATCAATGATATTGTTTGATAATTTCCACGCCTTGTTGAGTCATCTTTCTTTGGAATGTGAACGAATATAGATCTGTAAAACAACCCAGTGGTAGATGGAATTTCCTCCAGGACTTAAGAACCATAAATGACATAGCTGAGCCTCTACATCTTGTGGTTCCTAACCTCTACACTATAATAGACAAAGTGCTAGTCTATAGGCCTTTTGTTGTAAGACCACCTTCCCTCTATAACTTGATTTGTGCTACTATTAGAACCTCTACTTGGAATATTATTGCTTTTCAATTTTTGACTCATGTACTTTTAACTTCTTAGTTAAATTTGTATCTTCTAGGCTGCAACACTTCCATGATACATCTTCAAGGATATGAACATGTACGGCTAAGCACAATTGATAACAGTGCGTCTAAATTCCAAAATCAATCTCCATAATAGTCTATGTGTTTCCTATTGCCAAAGGGGCCCTTTAGAGTAGTGAGAGAAGATCTTCACCCTGAAACCTACTGTGTCCCTTTTCAGCAGGAAGTAGCTAAGAGAATACACCATCCCCTTTTCCTTATGAATCAGGGTGAAGTCTCTCTCAGGGAGGAGAGATAGGGAATGGCAAATGACACACTGACAAAGGAGATTAATCAAAACTGGCTTTGACAAGCACTGTGGAAAATTGGACAATTAAAACAGACATTCGGGAGGGGGGGAAGAAGAATGAACTGGGGAGGAGGGTAGAGAAAACAGTGCAACAATGAATGAATGAAAACCCAAAATCTCTGTAAATGTTCACTAAAACAAATAAAATTTAATAATAATTTCAAAAAAAAAGAAGAAGTGAAGGTGCACCTGACCCAAGTCATGCTATTTCCAATAACTTCATATGTAGGTGAAATTTGGGCAATGTAAAATTGATGTCTTGGAATTGTGATGCTGATTGAGGATATGAATTATTCTACAAGTTGCCAAAAGGACAAACAAAACTGTCTCAGATGTATGACCAGAGAGCTCCTTAGAAGTGAGAATGATTTAATCAGGAATTGAAAGGATGATGTGATAGTAGACACAGATCAATATTAATTGATTATATATAATACAATGTATATAGACGATTGTATGAAACACTGCGTAACTGAGAATTATGTGGAACACGGTATACATGAATTAAATACAAGGGAAATTAATTATTCCACAAAAACAAAAAAAAATGGGAGAGAGGGCAGAAAAAGGGTTAAGGAGAGATAATTAGTGGAATGGTAGAGGTTGGTGGCAGGGTAGACACAGAGTGGGAGGAGGTTCAGCAAAGTCTTAAGAGGACAGTGTGATAATAGACATGAATAAGTGACAGCTATTAAGGCTTGGTCAAGGGGAACAATTGAGTTCCACACAGTACTTTGAAGACATTTGCACCTAAATGGATTTGTGGATCCACACTGGAACTTTGACTAAAGACATACATGTTAGAAATAAGGGTAAGCAGGTAAGGAGCAAAGGAAAACTATTTAAAAAAGAAAGGAATAGACTGTCTTTTCAAAACTGGAAAAAGCTGTTTGCTAACGTTAATGCTCATCAAAGCCCACTTCCAAGTTGGAATATGTTCATTCTTAGCAATTACTTGGATCCATAGAATGGATATGAAAGGAATACAACAATGGAGAAACAGGCTGAGCTTGAATATGTTCCTTCAGCGCTGCCATTTAGCATGCACAGATATATGGAAGAGCAGGTAGGGGTTGTTGTCTTGAGGAGCAGGAGTCCTGAAGATTTCTGGCTTGCCTTGATCTCACGTGGGGGCTAGGGCTGAGTGAGGAGACTAGTAGGTCTGGAATGCAGGAAGAAATATGGACTCCTGAGCTTGTAGCTGATGCCCATTTGAACCTAGCCACAGATGGCTGAGTTGACCCGAACCCAATCAGATGAAGAGATGATCCATGGTGTGAGTTAGTGTTGGTTGCTGCAATCTGGTGGCTTCTTCTGGACTGCACATTACTTGTGGATGCAGACGCTGAAAGTTGCCAAGTTGAACAGAGATTTCTTCACCAAAAGGAACATGCTTGTTCCTTCAGAGTATGATTTGATAGGGATACACAAATCAGAAACTGGGTATCTAAAAGGGGAATATTAGGGAATAAGGCATGAAGTAGCTAGCTTACACACTTTGACATATGTCATTAGTAGTAAGATAATTAATTGTAAGAGGGAAAATACTGGCAATATACATGAACAAAATATCATGTAAATGAAC